AGCCCCCATTAACAAAATGCGCTCTTCATTTGCTACGTTTGGCATTCCAGAAACGTCATGCACAGACAACGGTCCACGCTTCATTAGCGCTGAAATCAATAAATTCGTCACCAGTAATGGAATCCAGAATATTAAATCGGCTCGTATCACCCAGCATCAAACGGGCTAGCAGAACGTGCCGTACAAACGGTAAAACAAGGCTTACAAAAGCAGCGAACGGGAACGTTACAAACAAAACTGGATCGCTTTCTATTCGCCTACCGTTCGACGCCCACTGACTACTGGTAAATCCCCGGCGGAATTGATGTTCGGCAGAAATCTTAGGACGAGGCTTAAGTAGTTGTTCCTCAACCCGCGCGCAGGTGTGGAGGAGCGAAAGAAGAAATCAGTGTCGCCAAACGAGTCAAAGACGGAAGTCACATTGGAGGAACATCAACCAGTTAACACCCGGTTACCGCATGAAAAATCTTGGCAGCCTGCAACCGAAATCGATGCGGCGGGACCCTATGTGAGTTGCAGTTTCCGGACGGGCGAGTCGTGCGCTGACACACAGATCACGTACGCACACGAGACACTGACTCACTAGCAAAAGCATAGCCTGACTCGTATTCTGCTACAGAACCAGTGGCGGTGGAGGAGGTATGTATAGCTAAAAGCGAAACTACTTCAGCGATCGAGCCGGGTGCGCAAACCTATAGATCGTTTCCAAGCTGGAGTGTGAAGCAAGCCACAACGGTGAGAGATATCACATGCATCTTAACGATCGCTGACTACGCGCTCATTCTGATTGGTCCTTTACACACATGCACGCATACACCAACACCTATCTTCACTTCTCGTAACTTGCACCTGGTCACTTTTTGAGTAAACTGTTCCCGTCCGCGCGCTGTCTTCTTTCTGGCTAAGGGCCGATATACGTACTACTAGGAGCGAGACGTGACACCGCAGTAGTGCGCATCCATCAGGATTCGAGCCCATGACCACCAGCGGTTTGCACCGGCAGTTAACAGCGTATGCCACTGGGCCACGGCGGACAGTGCAACAGAAACCAAATGCTTCTAAAATAAACGTGGTACGAAACATTACCTACCATTTAGCGGGCTAATCTAACAGGAGAGGAATTTAACATGTTGAGCATCCCATGGCACCTAAGTGACGTGCATGCTTGCATGGATAAACTCATGCCACACCTCCCACTAGGAGGAACCATAGTTGGAAATTGACCTACCAACGGCTTCCGACCATGCGCTGGAAAACATCAATAGTGAAGAAAGCCGTTTTCTTTACAATTAGTGACAACATCGGACTCCCAGTAACAGCTTCATTCATGTCACAATATACATTGAAGACACAGTCACAAGTTGGCGTAGCTATGAAAAAGCCAACATCTACTCTTGGGTGTACAAACGCACCAGTTGGGAAGATTATACATGTGCGAAGACTCTTCGCGTCGTCAAAGCCCGGTTGATGGTGGCCAATCTGAGACATCCGTGCTCCGCTCTATCCTTAGTGTGTAGGATCTACGCCACCGTGCAAAGGATGTTGTTGCAGGGCAGTGAACTCTAGTCAAATTGCGTGAATGAAATGCGCCGGTCTTCGACTACTGTTGTTTGAAAAGGATCTCCGCATGTGGTGACAACATCTAGCCTGCAATGATGGAGTTAGACAGCAAATTGGGGAATATGGATTTCCCCTTCAACAGACTCATTTTACTGCGTCAAAGGGGACCAAATCACATTCGACGGGCGTTAACCACGCTGTGCTAATTATTCGTGGGTCTGAACAGATCGTGTGGTAAAAACGTTAACACCAAAGCGCCGCACGGTTTAATTCCGGACAAATTTTTCTGCATATTGTCAAGTGCGTAATACAGAACACGTGAAAATTAATATCATCATGAAGAGTTAAGAACGTTAATATAGTAAATTCACCAACATACGTACACACACATACACACGTCTTTGTCAATTCATCATCTGTCTATTGGTTTACTACCAGAGTAGAGCGAGTAGACGAACGCGTCCTACTGCACAGAGACTTGGGGCAAGCTGTTTGATTGCGACAGCAGCACATTTGTTGTTTGATGCATAAACCACACTGAACATACGCGCGGGGTCAACACAGTGTGTCTGTCAGCAGATGGCGGGCGATGGATGACACAGGCGTCTTGAAGAGTTGACCACTTGCGTTCCTTGGCTTCGCACCTTGGTTGGTGGACGGGGGCAAGGTTCGAAACGTGATTCCTGACCCACGTTAGGATATGCTCCGCGATTTTCACCCACAACTGGCGCTTTGTCATGAATATGTAAGTGGCCTTGCAACTACATCTGAATTTGTAAACTATGTGTGAATGACTGGACAGAGGTAGCTGCGGTTTAACCGAAGGTATGGGAATGCGCATCATTGGATATACTAGTACAGGTTGAGGCGCGGGGTACACTTATGCAACCGCGGATTTCAAACGCCGCTGAAATAGTTGGCTCATATCATCTCCCTTAAACGGTAGCTCCAGTGTACCAATTTACCAGTGCTTTGATCAGCGAGGATTAGAGCATACAGTGATTCAAGTAGCACAGGTGACCGTAACAACCCAGAAGACAATGAAGTACCGATCTGGGTGCTTCGGTGATAGCAACATGGTAATCAGCGTATTTGTGTAGGATAAGGCTGCAGCATTTTATACCTATAGGATGTGCAAAATTCGAGAGATTCCCCGAAAGTTAACTGGAGTGATGGTTCGGCTCGTGACCGAAAGGACTGCGAGCCTGTGTAAGGGACCGTGCGACCCTCGCAATATCCTTAGCTCACGCGCGACTGGCAGCGGCTGCGTGGCAATGACGCGTCGGTACTGCTGACGCCCTATAACTGGCGAGGTACATCGCAAAGAAAATGCACTGTGGGAAAAGAAAGCAAAGCGCCTAATGAGAATGACATTAACCATGGAGAGTTAGGTGTGGTCAGCAACTTGAACGTTGATAGACACGGCTGTGGACACCGCGTACACGCATGCTACAGGTATGACGTAGGTGACGCGCAAGTAGTTTAACATGTTCCGAAAAACCATTCGTAGGTGGATTAGCATATTTATACAAGATGCAACAATGCAATGAGAAGATGCATTGCTTGACCCTCCGTGTCCAAGTGAAAGGTGATTAACGCCTGCCCAACTGTGAAGTCGCAAGCCTGCGACTGATGGCAGACTGTTGTCGGAGTTTCTGGAGTGGCAAAGCCATAATTGTACATGTGCTTCGCTGTTTGGTGGAAGAATAGCGGATGGAAGAGGAAAGGCAACAGCAGTAGGCCGGTACACCGTATCTGCACTTCACTGTCACGCAACCACCACTACTCGCGTGGGGGCTGAGGACACTGAGAGATTGTCCAGTTCCTTCGCACGCTTGAATCCGCCGCCTCCGGAGTACAAGGCAGGCTTGTGATCTTTTCGGCAACGGACCGGTGGATAGAATAGGAGATACCCTTTAGGTTGAGAGTTGATGTGTTCCCACTGCAAAGGTGGAAGAAGGAAAGGCTTGTGCTTACCAGGAGAGAAGTTTTACCCGACTGTGACTAGAAGACCTGGCCCACAGGTAACAAGCCAAGCACCAAGACTATTTGTAAGGTCGTGGGTTCGAATGCGGCGGGTGCGCGCTACTGACGAGCCCCAATAGGGCGAAACGCCCTCTATCGATTTCCCGGATGTGTGGTGGCTGGCTGTTTGAGTCCAACTGTGACAAAGCTTCACAAAATACCCGATAAATCCCCTACGACTTACAAATAATCAGTAGTCGCCTTGGCAGCATACATGCTACCTCGATTGGTGGCGGCTTGTAAAGGAAGTCGTGGATCTGGGGGCCAGCCCTATTCGCTGTACTTTCATAACATGCATGACAGTGCAGGATGAGCCGCGTTATATCGCAGTTAGATATCAGTCATGGCTGTCCGCTGCTGTCGCCCATGGCTCAGTGCCATAAGTCGCTAGCTCTTAAGAGTAAGGTCGTGGGTTCGTATCCGACAGGTGTGCGCTACTAACGTGTCCCAATTGAACAAAACGGCCATCTAGCGCTTTACTGGATTGTGGTGACTGTCTGTCTGAGTCCAACTACGATGATTCTTCACAAAACATTAAGATTATTGTGTCACTAGCCCTGTCCCATTTCAAATAGTAAAGATGGCCAAGTCTAGCGCCCCTAATCCTTCTCCTCATGACCGTGACCTGAGCTGTGTGCGCACAGAACCAATAAAACTCGAGGTTGCTAGTAAACTGGCAGAGGATCCACGTGTCAACCAGGTGCACAGTTACTATAATTCTGTAGAACATCCGATCTCTGGAATTGTAACAGTACATTGCGATACCATAATGAAGTATTGTAGGGATTATCGTCATCGGCACCATCTTCATGCCAAATGGCTACCGAAAGAACTTCCAAGTGGTTCCCATGACATGAATAGGCAACACAGATATTACAACTAGTTCAAAGGATCCGGACTAATATTGCAGTCAAAGAAGTTGAATCTTCTGCGTGGGGCTTCCCCTTAAACAGTACAATGTTATCACCCGAACAAAAAAGAACGTAAAGATCACATCATATCCACAACGGCCCTTCCCAATGCCGGTGTGACAAAGCCCAGTTTGTACAAGGATCTCGGACAGAAGCAAGCAAACGATACAGTTGCCAACAGTGAAAATGGCCAAAAAGGAACCAGGACTAAGGGATTTTGGTTCAAGGGTTCGCGCGATAACTAACTGTTTGTGACCCTGAATGTTTGCTTACGGCGGGTAGGCTATAAGCCAAGCTACTCCTATATTATTATTCTTCATTGCCTAGGCCATTCTGACTGTACAACAGTACTGATTTACTGCTATTGATGACGATAAGGAAATCACGAACAGTTCCAGTTCGAGATGCTACAACATCTGAGACTGAACGGACACCGAGAATCAAAATAAGGAGAACTGTTGTTCTATTAACGCGTTATGGGAACACAGCTGAAGCCCCGTTCTTCGTAAATCGGCACTGTAAGAGCCTTTACAGTGACTAAACACACAAATAGGACATGACAAAGGAGATTGTAGAACTGGTAGAAGTATGGCGATCTGAAAGGGTATTTGATTTACGAGGAGAGGGGAATCGGAAGAATAGAAACGGTCTCATGAGGTCCGTAAAAGTACGAATAACTCATGTGATGAATAGAGTAAGAGTGCGATGTATTGAATGTGTGTGACCATTACAGGTACGCCAAGTATTCACGTGCATATAAGGTTACACTGTCCCACACTCAAAGAAGAGAGAACTCGGACAAAACCCGATCCTTAGTCGTGCGTGAGTAGATGAAGAGAACAGGGAGAACGTTCAAACGAATATTGCAAACAAGTTGCAACTGACTATAAAGCGAGCTTATCGATGGGCTATGAAGCACAAGTGAATCGGCGGAATGGAATAAGTGGAATGGGATCCACAAATTGGGATGAAGAAAACGACCTTGGAAGTTTGGGGACAAAGTAGAACAGACAACATGAAAGCACAGAAACAACAAAAATGAAAATAAAAGATAATCAAAATGTCGTGATGGTGACGCACATCCAAAGTGTTATTTCACACTCAAGCAGTGATCGAACGACAAAGGAGTGAAGGGGTAACCATCGCCCTTGTAGAACTTATTCTGAAACTCCACCCTATGAATCGAAGGGAAAGAAGAAGACGGATAGTAGAGTTTCGGAGTATCGAGGCACGAGAACGCATGGCGTGCGAAAGTAAGGTAACTAAAGACAACAGAGTTCGTAACATATGCAGTGGCCTATGGCATGTGAAAGCCATTGGGGTTCAAACGAAAACCATAAAAACCTATTCCACATGAATATAAGATCCAACGATGGCGGCGTTAAACAGGCTGCATAGAATTGACTGGTTAGTTGCGCGGGCAAAACTGAGATAGACCACGACTGGGTAGACATCAAGGAGTGCAAATGAGCAGTGATTGGTCCCGAGCGCCGCATCACAAGTGGCGAGCCGAGAACCTCAGTATTTGTGCGCAGGCTTCCAACAAATGTTTTGATTCCTGAAAGCTAAACGCAGATGGTGGGCTGATGTTTGACTACAGCTGTAACAACCCTGATCTTGCCCATACAAGTCCATCTGATAGAAAATCGAGTTAAACATACAAAGAAAAAGAAACTAGAAAGTATGTGTAAAACATCGCTAGAGCTCAGAATAAGCACAGTGGAAATATGATATTTTTCGACGCACCAATGAAGACGGAGAGTGTGTAAGAAGGCAGAAAGACCCTCCATCAGAAGTAAAATACCGAGGGTTAGGGCAGCCCAAAAGCCAAAGACGATTACGAGAAACGGTCCGCCGTAGTATCCTCTGGCGTTCAGGCCGTTGTGAAGGACCATTGTCCAGAGAACTTCGGAAAGTTCTGAGAATGGAAGGGTGGCAAAAGGGAACCGAATGGTTTTGCCCAATCTGCTCGGTTAACCAGTGGCAAGTACTTAAATCGAAAAAAACAAGCGGGAGAAATGAACAAACTACAGTGCGATTACAAACCATCTAATAAACACAGGTCACCAGATAGACAAACGAACAGCCTTTCAAATTCTCTACAAAATACCATCAAGACAAAATCATCGTCTAAGAGCAAGTATACTCGCCACCGCTGAGGCAATATGCATACGTCTAACAAATCCGGACTTGTGTGTTCAGAAGAAACTAATACAAACACTACAGCTTCCCTGGCCGACCGCCAGCCGTGAAGGAAGCCATGGTACTCCGCAAATTCACCTGACCTCAGTCACGTGATCAGATGTAGGTCATCATGATCACAAGTTGATTTTCCGATAATTGTTTCTTTGTTACACTAACAATTGCAACAGACGTTAACATAATGTATATTACTGTATGAGCCTGATGAAAAAGTAATCGAAAACAATTGTTTGCTCAAAGCTTCGTGTTTTGTTTATCGTTCGAAAAATGACGAAAAATAGGGATTGATTATGGAAAGCCCGTGATGGGCTTAAATAACAGAACGTGAAATGAGGTGCAGATTGAGAGAGGTTAGGGGTCGAACGCGTTCTGAACAAAGTGTAGGGAACATGTAAAAGAACATAGCAGTGACAATAATTCAGAGAAGAGAGTACTTGATTTGGAAAGATGAAGTGCGAAAAGACAGGCTGAGATAGTAAACAGGTGACAACATAACAAACCAAATGTGATAAAGCTTACGCGCGGACCTACAAGATGAAATGGAATCCGTTTAGGACACCAGTTGCTGCAGATTGATAAACACCCTCGTGGCCCTCACAATGCACGAGGTAATTTGATTACGGACACTCGAAATGCCCGTGCCACAATCAACAACAAACTGAAGTTGTAAAGCGCACACCAACAAACGAGGGTGATTGGATTACTTAACCATCTTTACCTACAAAGCACTGCACATATCGGGTGGAGCCCCGTGCCACCGATGATGAACCGTGCAGACGATCAGGTTGACTTGTTGGCTAAAACAACGAATAGGTTGCCTCAGCTCGGACATGCGGAACATATACTCGCTCGCCCCCTGCACAGATTTAATTTGTTTATCTGTGCATTTTGGCTGGTGTAAAGTGTGAGGCTGGAAGTCAGCGTCCTCCAAGTTGAGTGCGCTTGAATGGTGCATGGTCTGGAGTCAGATGTGAGTACGGTTGGATATGGAGTGGGTGAGTAGAAACCGAAAGGTTGTCCCCCTTATATGCCTAAGAAGATGGCCAGCAGTTTGAGATCATGGCAAGAGACCACCTGGTGCCGTAATCTTAAACTTGGAGCACTCACAATGGTCGTGTCCGGTCTTTCGAGTGGACACTGACCGTCTTCATCGACCGAAGTTATTAATGACCACTGTACACAGCTCGTGTAACCAGAAACACAGTATAGGTACTGGTGAACAGTCTGATATGAGATGAGAACTTTTCACAGCACGCATTCCGCGTGGTAGCGCTGTCGCAGGCATTCAGGTCTAGTTTTTGATAATCCATTGGAACGAATGTGCTCTATGCCTGTTTTGGGGACACACCACACGTCAACTGCAAATGGATATATGACTGCAGTGAGCGGCTATCTGAAACAAACTCCGAAGATAAGATTAGCAGAAAAGCCAGAGCTGTTTCTTTCCAGTCAACAAGAGAAGAATAGCAGGGGAAATGAACAATGATGATTGAACTTTGATGAGAGATGAAACTCCTAGACAGCAGTCCCGGGATTCCCGTTTCAATCTATGACTCGACAGTCTAAAGCATAGGGTAGTGGGGAGTAGGCTCATCAAGTGTGGCTTATTTCACTAGACAGAGTGGTGGAATCCTGACTAGAGAACACTAATGTTCTGTGAGGATGTGCAGGAAAGCGGCATTAGGTGATAAACGCACAGTCACGGCAAAGCACAAATGAGCGATTGTGACGGCCACCAAAAAACAAGGGACATTTAAGAAAGCATCAGGGCGAATACATCTTGCTACCATCAGAAATAGCGATTGTGCCATTGCGATAATCGAATAAACCCTGTAACTGCCGAAAGCTATGACTGAAGATGAACGTTAATCAGTCCTCAACATGTAGAGTGAAACCATGCCATGCTGAACCTCAACGATGTATCCATCTGGCGTGGTTAACACTGAAGGCAACTGGACAGTGCTTATCTCAGTTAGTGTGGTGAAATACAAAGATAGCTGATGCATCGTGTCAAGGCCCAGTCTCTAAGAAAATTCACAAAATGGTCCTTACAAACAACCAGAAATGGGTGCATGTGGATGTTTGGTAAAGCGGTTCAGCGACATCGTATCACAGACGGAAGTCGGTTTTGTCATTTGTGTTGCTTAAAGTGTTGCGAAGCGTTTACTTGGGGCAAACGTAAGGCAAGAAACTGTTCTCCTATTCCAGTGAGGAAATAAGTGGTCTTACGTCCGTTGTAGAGACTTCGCGAATGCGGAGATGTTTGACTTTAGGATTAGGTACAATCATGGGATCGTAAATGACAACATTCCGCTGGCGCACATTTCATAGCATTTCGTTTGCATACGCCGGAAGCCAGAAGAACCAGTCATTCATAGATATTACTACATTTAGCTAACAAGAACAAAGGTCTAAAATGTTCATAACAAAAACGAGTATGCACAGGCCGAGATGGCAATTCCTTCAAACATCCTTTTAAACAGGTGCTTGGCTAGGAGTCGTCACAATCGAAACTTCATATCTAGGCAACACAGCTCATTAGCTGTGGCAGCCAATAGGGTGAAACGTCCATATGCAAAAACTTGGTAACCTTTTTAGGGCCGAACTGTGCCACAGTGCAAAAGTACCTAGACGCATAACAACGAACTGTCACGGGGGGAAGAGACAAGGTACAGTCTTATGAGTGTCACAGCCAAGAGCAATAAATTCATCCTTTGATAGTTATGGGAGAAACCAGGATTAGAATAACGCTACTCAATAGCAAGTCCAAGACCAGAAACCCGGTCGCAGTGGGTGGATGACGTTCGCCCCCACATAACAAGCCCTGTGCGTTGTGGACGACCAAAGCCGAATGAAGTGTGTGATGTAAGACAGCAATAGCGCCGTCCGACTACGTGTCCAATGCTAGTTAGTCCATTTTCATAAACAATACGTAGTGCCACCTAAGGACAACAATGAGATGTGTGCAACATTGTGCGCTGCCAATAGTGGTGAGGAGAAATGACAGAAGATAGAATGGACAACTTTAAAACCAAGCAAACAGCTCGAGGATGCTGGAATAACAACTCACGAGCATGAGCCAGACTGAGTGCCCACAAGCGCAGGTAGGAGGCCGTATTGGAGATGCAACCAAGGCAGTACTCGATTGTATGAATAGCTTGATAAATCATGGTATCCCCGAGGTCGAACTAAAATGGGCGGAAGACAAGATTATCGAACGATCGAGCTGTCACCGTAGCGACACAGTGAAAACGTTAGTGGAGACGGAACACGTGTTAGAACACGCGAATTACTAAGACCACTAGACACTCACAAAAGTAGCATGCGTGTAAACTGAATTAGACACGTGACAACATCGTTGCAATGAACATTCAGCTCAAGCGGAAGGTTCACATCGGCTTGAGTACTCACTGGTTCCTCATACATGTTCATTGGATCGTCAAGCCCAGAGGGCTGCAAACCGTCACTAAGCACGATTTTCTCAGAGGACACAGTAGTGCCCTTGTCCAGCGAAACCCCCCCACGACCCTTTCGAGGTTAATGGTGAAGCGACAAAGCGCCATCACATACGAGGGGGAGAAAAGAAAAAAACAAGGAAATGTATGAGCAAGCGTTAGGAGGAGAATCACTCACTTCTTCAGTATCACTGCTGTAACTTGTTGTGCTGTGGTGGTCAGTTATGCTAGACGCTTTGGACATTCGACAGTCTGCGGCGTGCAAGGGAATTGTGTCAGCGTATCCGACGCCGTTGCAATCACCGACGCCACCAAGCATGGGGTCGTCAACTAGTCCAGCGTTGGTCAGTCCGCTGACGTCAATGATGGCCGAATCAGACGGGTTGACATATCCACCGCGTAAGCGCTTTGAACGGCAACATGTAGATGCAGTGAAAGATAAAGTGTGGTGTCGAATGGAGAGAAGTATGAATATTAATTAAACGTGGAGCGGACGGTAGAAAGAAAATTGGACACGTCGGAAAGCTGTGTCGTCTGCGTTGAAATCGTTTATTTGTCACAAAAGTAGCCTCAGGAAGCATCGACTATTGCTAATGGTACAATTTACCAGTACCGCGAAGATGAGATAGGTTTGCAGCAATACTGAAACTACATGTCAAGTCACCGCACCTACACACAGTTGAACTCCAGTGTATACACAAAATGCACACAAGAGGCGTTTACTGAGTAAATACGGTTGCAAAAGTGCTACCCGAGTCCACTAAGGGTGCTGATGACGATACTATCATCACGACAAGCATTTCAGCGTATGCACCAGACAGAGCACAATCTGTGCAGTGGCACACGTGCACCATAGACCAAACGCTGGCCAGAAATGAGGTCAAAAAGGGAAGCAGGTAGAAATCAATCGGACCAGCCGTGTTTGAAGTCAGCTCACATTTGTGGTTTATCACAAGATGCGAATGATTCGAGCTCAATAGCTTACATTGCTAAGTAGGTCTGTTAAAGTGAAGCTCCACCATGGTTAGTAGAAAGTCACCATGGTGACATTGCAAGTTATTGGAAAAGAAGGCCGCCAGTATGCCACTTTGACAAAATCTCTCTATGCACAGGTCGACGGAATTGTTATCGATGCAAAATGGATGAGTTGTGTGAGAAAAAGATAGAGGTCAGCGCCTTTAGCACCGACATCTCAATGGGATTGGGGTCATTACGACGACGATACTCGCTGGTTCCATCATTACGACGAGTATGTAATGCGAAGGTTGTACAGGAAGTGCTCTACCCGCTGCGGCGAATGTGAGTCGAGGCACGCTTTGAGGCGATGTCATATTTACTTTTTATGAACAGAAAGTGAGTTGTAAACACCACAAATTTTCATTCAGGTCAAACACTTAAGTCGTAGAGATGGTGCATCACTACTCGGACCATCTGAAATCGGCCATACTATACATGCGGTAAAAATACATTCCAATCTCCAAGTGCCGGGTGTGGTTTACGAGTTGAAACAGGATATTGATGTACTCAACAAATACAGGCTAATTGAGACCAAGTGAACGAGTTTGAAATGTGACATTAATCACATGCTGCTCAGTGGCTGTATAATGGATTAGGCTAAGGCTGAGCGCCATGCAAAAAACGCAAATGAGTGGAGCGAAGGAAAGTAATAAAACAGGAAGAGCATCTCTTACAGTGGCGATGGCACGATGGCGCAAGAACAGAACCAGCGGCTTGGCCAGCAACATCCACGGAACACTGAGGATGGCAATCAGCATGAGGATGATTTGGATCGTTTGCTGAAAAAAGCACAGGGGACGGTATTCAGCGACAGGATGAGTTAAGTTGGTTCTATACAGAGGTGATGAGGTCAAGCACAAAACAATGATGCACGAAGTGGTGCACAAAGTCCCAGCAATGAGCAGTGTAAAAGATGCACTAGAAATCCGCAACGCCACGCAAAGAAGCAACCACTGAGCGAATTAAAAAGGGAATCACGTGGAGTTGAAAAATGTGGAAGCTAAGAGACTTCAAGGAATTCAAGAAGGTTGGTTGAGCTTGATATGAAGATGGGTGCGTAAAGGAAGATGAAATAAACGAGGGCATAGGCTGGACTCACGATGTAACATCAAACAGCTCTCATTAAACGCATCTCGGTGGAGAGAGAAAGAAGATAAAGAGTTGGTTGGGTCAAAAAATGTAGTCAAACCATAGTCCACCCCAGCATGGCTGCATAAAACGATAATTGATCCAAAATATAGGAGAAAGGATGATAAAAAACGAACAGTAAAAAGGAAATTTGTGTAGATGGATCGCCGAGGCAGCAGTGTGGATAGTAAAAGTGCAGATCAAAACTCAGTACAGAAAACTTACTTGACCCGAGTAAAACGTTTGGGTAGGAGGTGGACCTTCGTTTTTATAACTGAAGCGTGCCATGTTGATTAAATCTGAGGGGCAGGGAGGTTATTTAAATGTCGTATTGATAAACGGGGATGAGAACGAGCGCGTAAACCGTTTTAGACAAATTTGGTAAAAACGGCTTTAAGAACCATAATAATGAAGGAGTTGGAGTAAGAATTATATCGTCAGTGCAGGCCTACGATGATTCACCATGGTATAAATTTTACTGGACAAGAAATGTGCCAAATGTGCTTAAGATGGGTGCGTAATTGTCGAGAGCCGACCAACCAATGAAACGAATAGATATGTTCAACAACTTACTGATAAGCAAGCTGGGTGCGATTCTGGATTGTTCGGCCGCGAAAGCAACCCACTTGTAAAAAATTAGGACGATTAGATAGAGGAAGATGGACGATAGGAATAACACCTGGGGAATGAGTTCGCACCAAATAGCCAGTGGATCACCGAAGAAACTGAAGGGAGGAAGGAATGTACCCATTGTTAGGCGACGAACATTGATGGGAATGGGTGAAATGGGGGGCAAACAAAGTACTACAAATATGTTGGACGTTTCAAGGAATATGCGACTAAAGCATTACAGCTGAGAAAGCATGGGGTGTGAAAATGGCATTGGCTGAGTGATCCAGTGAGGGGGGGAAGTAAGGGACAATGCGACATATTCTTAGAGCTCCCTTTAACGGTAACATTGCCACAATGAGGACTATTAGACGACTAATTGCGGTCACCCAGAGCATCTTCAGGGCTGCCAAAATAAACATCATCGAGCGAACCTACAAATTGCCGCTGCATCCACTGAAGGGGACTCAGTTTGTCTGGGCCAATTCCCAATGTGTGTAGCAATGTGTATGTAATTGAGGAGCTAGTTACACAAGCATAACCGATAGGAACTTTAGTGTCCGGATGAAAGAACACATTCCGAGGTGACTCCAAGAGGAGCCAATTCAACAGGCATGCTCAGCTCAGGCTACGAATTCACACAGGCCGCCGTGATCTTCAATCGGCAGACATTTCTTGATCTCAAGTTCCCGGATCAAGGCCACCAGGTCGTTCAAAGTTCTGATGCGATATACTAATACTCGTCTCCTTCGTTTCGCTGAGGTTGTTACGTTAAAACGGATCAAACCAGAGCTTTGTGTTCAAAAGCCACTATCGGTCATCCTCAGGTTGTCTTGGACATAGGGACGTGAGTCACAGTTTTCCCTTTCGTTTGTTTTTACATGTGCATTAATTGAGTTATATTGCACTTCCAGCTATCATTTTCGGCACTGAAGAGACGATAGGAATTGCATACAACTGCCGATCTTCGTCTTCTCACTGTGACTTTCAAATGCGACAATGGTTAATTCGAACCGAACAACAAAGTTGCCATGGCTGATATCGCTATAACGAGCCAAAAGGACGGAAGGGAGCGGCTCAAGAAAAAGCGTAAGGTAAGGCAATACAATCGAGAAGCTTATATCTAGACGACACTGACCAAAGGTGGGTTATTTAGACTACGATACATTGGAAAAGTTGTCAAGCAGGAAGACAATATGAGCCAAACCGTCTCGATCGTCATATCATTATCTTCATACCCCCGGAGACAAGCCGTTAAATAGCGAATCGGCAGCTCCATCTGAATCGGTGGTTAGGAATGAACAATGCACGCCGATGTAGGCGATGGACGGGCATACGGGGCATCATGGCAAATAAACATAGGTCGTTCGAGTTCAACAGACACTCCAGCGCGGCACGAGAGAACATGCTGTTAGACCGACCAAATAAAGGACACAGGGTTGTTCATATTGCGCTGCCCCGCTGGATATACAGAACACTTCAATCAGGGCCACTTTTTTTTAACATACTTTCAACATGCCGTGACAATGTCTATACTCAATGCAATAGAATCAGCTGTAGTAGAGCAATGTATATCGTAATCTTATTCAGAAAGATCATATTCCACAGTATTCATGGGTGACGGAAGATTTGAAAGATCACACCAGTATATTTGATGCGTGTAGTAGCCTTTACAATAAGTCTGCCACTCTTATCGAAAAAAACTTCGCAGGTAAATAAACCGATTATCAAGTTAGAGTGGTTGTTCGACAGGGGTAAAAATTGAACGTGCTCCGGCCACGCAATAGCAACTTGCATGCTGAACCTAGGTGTGCAGCTGACTGCGATAATTCAAGAAGTAGAGTGTAATCCGTCAGGCCCGACCATAAGAGTTATCGCACTAGTACACTCGAAAGTTGTCAATCGGGATCCTACTACAGCTTCCAATACAGAGGAAATAGACGGGAGAGAATCATTTATGGACATAATCACCAATACACGTTACCTGAGGGTGAGAAACCCATCTCAACTAATGTGCTGCAATGCATAAAGTAGGACATTAAACGATGTGGACTTAATAATGACAATAATAATAATGCGTCAGCTGTACGCCGTAACAGCGCATCGCTGTCGTGCGAGCACCACCAGGCGCATGCGGGCTAACCATGCGGCGAGGACGCGAACCCCTACGCAGAATCGAACCCGCGCCGAAAGATTACGAGACAATCTCGTTACCTCTAGACTACAGGCCGGCGCAATGTGGACTTAAAAGCTAGTAAAAAGTAACATAATGCTAATATGAGATTTGTGATTGTTGCTGGAGGGCGGAAGCTAAAGAGGAGAGGGACAAAGAGACTCACAACACAAACGCCACTGAGGTCGACTCGACTCTGCCATGTCAGCAAGTGTGTCCAAGCAAACGTGTTCATCGTCCTTTGGTCCCCAGCCCGGCAGTCGGGATGCACCAACTTCGAAGTGAGTGTTTTCATTCCTTTTGACCAAGTCTTCACTTGACCTCCCCTCCTCCTCTTCCATCCACACCTCGAGGAAGGAAACAATGCGTGACGCGGAAGTCGGTGGACTAGCATCCGTAACACGTGGCCCAGCCATCAGAACCTAGTACGTGATATATATAGTTCTTCCTGCACCAAGTACGCGACGCCGAACCCGCTCATTGCTCATGCGGTGCTCTCACCAGACATGAACTAAGCTGCAAATGCTGCGATGATCGAGTTGATGGGCCAAATCTCGCAATCGTACTGGAGGGTTGAACGGACGGCTGTATCGTAAACTCTGTCCTTCAGAGCGAGAGTAAAGTCACGCCGGCGCCACAGATGGCGGAAATCAGCAACAGTGCATCAACTTTTGCTATACGGTTCGTGATCTCATCTTTCGTTCCACTAGCGCCGATACAGCTCCCCAGATAGTTGAATTCATTGACGACTTCTAAATTATTACTGCCAAAGGTCAATACAGGAGTGGGTTCCTGCCAATCTTGGGGAACAACTTTGCATTTAGATGGCGCAAAGTATAGCCCAACACGACTGACAGCCAGAGCTAATTTATCTAGTATAACTTGGCACATTCAAAGGCTGTCACAGACCAGCGCAATGTCGTCGGTATACTCCAAGTCGATAAGTCGCTCACCTGGGAGCAGCTCCACACTTTCTAATTCGTGCCCCTCGAACGCCGTTTCCATGACTTGGTCAATGGCGAAGTTGAAGAGGAAAGCTGACAGCGGGCAACCTTGTGTCACGCCGCTGGAGATATTGAAGGGCGGCGACCGCTTGCCGTAATCCCTCACTCTGCCCGAGCTACGCGCGTATAGCGCTCGGATAATGTTTACATATTTTTGGGACGCATCTTTCCTGGGTATACAGTTCCAAAGGGCACATCGATCAACCGGATCGAAGGCACCCTTGATGTCTAGGAACAAGACTACGGTGGGTGACCAATAAACATGGCGGTGCTCCAACAACTGACGTAATGTGAAGATGTGGTCGGTGCAGCCTCGATTCTGACGAAACCCAGCTTGATCCTTGCGCATCTGGCTTTCAAGAGTGTCAGCCAGTCTGTGGAGGATGACAGACGCAAGCAATTTGGAGGCAATAGAGATCAGACCGATTACCCTATGACTGCCGCATTCAGAACGGAGGCCTCCCTTGAAAATTAGGACTATGACGGAGCGGCTCCAGTTTGTTGGAACAGTCTCTTGCTCCCATAGATTCACTAGTAAGTTATGTAAATCGTCCACAAAAACAGGCGCTCCAAATTTGAAGAGGGCAGTATGAAGTTCATCTGCCCCGGCGGCTTTGTTCAATTTCAGCCGTCTGGTCTTACCTTTGACTTCTGTGCGCGGGGCGCATCCAAGGAAGTGTTTGGCCAAACGCTCCAAACGCTTTGACAAGCTATGGATTGGCTGTCCACTCTCGTCGTGTATTGTCTCGCGAACACTAGGTTTTCTGCTGCCCGTTTCCCGTACTGGACGGAATAACTTACGATGGTTACCAAGGGCAGTGGTTGTTTCCCCCTCCGAAGCACGATGAGACAATCAGGCTTCGCGGCCTCTCTTCAGGTTAGCAGGAAGTTTCTCCCTGAGAGCTTTGCAAATCTCATTGTATTCACTTCTATTCGGAATACGTCGGCGAGCATCCATGTGTTCCAGAGACTGCGTAGAGACGCAGTGTTCAGGTTGGAAACCTGATTTCCCACACGAAGACATGCCTGCTGTTAATAACGTCTGGAGAATATTAATGGGCAGCTGGATCATAAACCGGGAGCGGAAAGGAACACATGGCGGTACAGGTGTGCTCTGCTTGGGGTGAGAAGTTAAGATGATTTCTTATTAGTCACTTCAATGCACCGAAAAACGCGACAGAAGTATGCTAGAAATGGGGAGAAATGTATAGTTTTCCATCTGCTTCTAGTTACCTTGTTTAAAGAGCCAGTCTAACGAGTTGGTGTGAGTAAGTGAATTGACAACAGCCTTAGAGCTACGAAAACTACATGATGAACAACATCTACCCAATGTTTGGAAAAGCAAAAATGTGCGGTCAACGCATACCGTTCAGAAACACGAGTTAGCATGGAATACAGGATGTTTACCCTCCCAGGGCCTAGTGAGTTTTAGCATTATTTGATTTACCAGTGGTTTGGAGACAAACAGTATAGCAAATAGCTAGATGATTTCTGCACATTTTATGACTCATTTAATAATGTATTTGGCGGCCGATACACGCTAGCCGAAAAGTGCATTTCCCCTAACCAATATAAGGCTGAGCAGACTGGCTAGACCGCAATCAGTGAGCCGACCTAGTGCAGTGGAGGAAGGTCGTGGAGTTCAAGCACGGTTTCGTCCCAACAGAGCGATTGTATGTCGGAGATCATCGAAGGTGTAAAGCGTCATTTATAGGTTCAAAGCGAGTAAACGAGGAAAACAAATCAAATCCGATGAAGTGCTCTTCAGAATTATCCGCCCAATGTTACAGTTTGTGCTCCTGATATTGGAGCAATTGACGAGTTTTCTTAGTTATTCCTTCCCTAATTGAGACCTTTCTTGAAACAGCGCTTTGATTAAATTCGAACACCGCGAATATTGGCCTTCTTCATTTTATGGGCCATCGCTATGCGTCAATGCGACTGGTCAATTCTAAGGTTCCTGGTTAAAGACCGTTTTATGAATTTGCGGATACTGAAAATGGGTGTTCAACAAAAGCGAAGTTTCGATCTAAACAAACTGGTTGATAATCCGGAGTCCCGTCAGAAATTTGGACGCCCCCGCATTGGGAAGCGCAGCATGACCAGTGAAAAGACTCTGAATAGATTGTCGGCTCTTGATTGCATAGGTGGGTGATTTCGACATTCGAATACCTCCAGAAAAAGTACAGTGAATAAGCTGGGTCTGAGCGACACGCCGGCAAGTTTTATGAATACAAAGAGAAACAACAATGCTTCAGAGTAGTCTCGGGAGAAGCAATCGGGTGAAACAGGTGCGATGAGGCCTCGTTTGCACGTGAAAGTTGGTAACTGGAATAATTGGCGAGGAAATAGATCTAGTTTTACCGACTATCGGGATCAAAACAAATTCACGGAAATCACTGTAAAGAAAAAGCAGTTGTGTAGCATGTAAACGAACAAGCCCCACCGAGTAAAGGTTATCGAAAAACTAAGCGAACACAAAACGAGAGATTAGAAAGTTATCGGGTTTGTAGCATATCGAAAGCAGAAGGCCAGATCGCAGAGTATGCCATGGTTGGCGGCATCCGGTTTCGGATTTGCCTGTCACTGTGGCAAGCCACAGGACGCCTGCGCCTACAGAGGGACCATGGATGGCTTGCGCTGCACCACCCACAGCTCCAACCACATACCCCATATCCAGTGTAAACCCGAAGGAATAAGACCGGGAGGCATGCGGATGGGAACCACGTTTCATCAACGGAGCCGGCCCACACTCCTTCACAGGCAAACACAAGCACGCTGTATTTGGGGAATCAAGCGCACACAAGGCGGTGGCTGGACCGTAGTCCGCTCCACACTGAGTGCATGGAACCGCTCTCTGAGCCTAGCACGGCCACAAGAACCGTGCACCCCGTCCCCTCCAGCAACGACCAACTGTCTCCTGGAACCAGTATGAACGATGTAGTGGGTAATAGACAGGTAGGCACCTTGTCAACATACACATCAAGCGCAACCATACCATGGATATCAAACAACAGCCATTCACTTTAAACGACAAGCTGAAATAAAATAAATCCAATAATGCATACAGATACGGTGGCATAACTCTTCGCTAAATTACCATATGAAGTAATTTGGTTAGCAACAAATCTGTGATAAGTAAGAAATGTCCACAAGTTACTTAAAATGCTACAACGCAACAAAATTACCGAAGATAAGCGCAATTAGTGTAAGCAACGTGGCCAGTTAATAGAACATTATTCAGGGAGGCAGAACAAACCAAATAAAGCGGAATGAAATGTATCCAGCTTAAAAAGACCTAGTTTAAGTTTAAGTTGGTTTAGCACAACTGCGGTGAAGAAGCATCAATAATGCGACATCAGCCTCAGCATGGGGCACAGAGTATGCCATACACAGAGCATGCCATAGATATGTGAAAAAGAGCAAGAGGAAAATGAAACCTTACCGATGGTTGAAGGCTCCCAAGCAGACGCCCATCAGCATATGCAAAACACCAAGAACGATAGACATCTTCATCTTGATGGAGTTGGTGAGCATAATTTTGTTGGAAGCCATTTGCCATATGGGATCAAGCCCGAAAGGATAAGGATAGCCGGCATACATTTTGTCGGTTGTCTGATTCACAGTGCCTGGTTCAAGCTGCAGCTCGCTGTTGCGAACCAAAGTGGCGTTGTCATAGGTGGGATACCAAGAAGAGCCGAATATGTTGAGGGAGCGTGAGAAAACGTCGTTGTAAATCAACCCAGTGTAGATGGAGAAGATACCCATGAGCAGAATGATATACCGGCCACCGAAAAATATTTGCCATATTTCACTTGTGGACTTCTGAGCCTACAAGGAAAAGCGCCGCATAAGAACAGAACAGCCGACAGGCATCCGAATAAGAGGAGGTAATCGCTGGCAAAAAAACGGCGACGGATAAACAAGCATATAAGCGGTCACATCACGGAAGGTGAGATAGTGACAAAATGTGCAAAGCTGTAACAAAAGCTAGAATTGCTGAAGCAACCGAGGGTTAGGAGAGACAGAACGGACATGAACTGTCAGGTTTACTACGTGACTAGTGTTGGATGACACTAATGGGAGAGTGGTGTCAGCATTGTGCAATACCGACGTTTCGCTGCCGCGCAACCACCACCGGTCGCATGTGGGCTAAGGATACTGCGAGGATTGTCCTGCTTCTACGCAGGCTCGAACCCGCGCCGTCAGTTGAAAAGACAAGCTCGTTACCTTTAGGCTATGGGTCGGCTTGGATGACAATAAAAATAGGACAGTGGTGGTAATATTTTTATTTTGGTTCGCACGGTTAAGCTTCGAGCGAATGTCACTGACCACAGAGAACGGCCATAAAAAACGAATCTACCCGATGTCTACCCATGAATGAAATGTATTACGTGACTCCGCAGGCTGTTTTCGGCAACCTCCGTCACATGGCAACGCGGCTGTGACGAATGTAAACGATTATATAGCCATAACAATAACGCTACCAAGGAGTAAAAACTAGGTGATACAACTGGTAAACCCACCGCTAATTTCCTCTCACAGACCACCATCCAAAGAGCGCAGAGGAACATGAGTAATCCGTGGCCAGCATCACCAAACATGACGGCAAACAAGAATGGGAACGTGATCACAGTAAATAAGGCTGGATTCACCTCCCGGTAACGGGCCACACCATACGCATCAATGACATTCTGAAAGGCAGCTGTAAACTTGTTGGTTCGATGATAGGTAGGCGGACTCTCTCGAGTAACGAGTCCGTTCAAGATAGGTTGTAATGTGCTATTGCTGCGCTCCATGCCTCGGCGAAGGGCCAAGTGAATTTTGTCCACGTCATTAACGGCGCACCAACATTCACCCACCATGCACTTTGTGGTTACATCCAAGTTGAACAAGTTCAGCGTGTGGTAGATGGCTTTGATTTTACGCACCTTGATGAACCAAACGCGTAGATTCTTTGCGACAGTCTCCAAAATACGCTGACGATGTTGTTTAGTTTGGGTTAGCACAGTTGCTAGATCATCAATCTTGCCCATCACCTCGATGGCCATGTTTCGCCGATCGGCTTGGGAGTCGGGGCATGGAGAAATACTTGCATGAAACCTGTTGGATGATGTTGGATGGATGGGTGATAGAAAGCAGAAGTTACGCATTTGGGGAAAAATCGATAAAGACCCTGGAAAACAGTGGTTTAGAGTTCTCCTGAGCAAATAAAAACAACCATCACTTCATATTGAACAGTATGTGTAAAGGACAGCAGCAACACACAGACCAACTGATATCTGGAACTTTCAAGTTTAATACAGATTAACAGAAGTTTGTTAAAGGATTGAAACGATGCAATTAGAGCTGAAACATTAAACATATTGGATGCTGTGATATGAGATGGCAGGGAAAATAGCAGGTATCGACAATGAATGGGCATACCTAGCACAAGTGCTAAGCCGCCATGCAGCAGCCATCAGCGGTTACATGTGAGCTAGCACACCGTGAGGTAGTCCACACATAAGTAGCCTTGAACATGTGACCGGAGGATGTTTGCAGGACAAATGCATGAACCAGTCGGGCATACCCAGATAGTCAACAGGGGTAAATATGAACGAAAACAGACACCAGGCCAACTTAACTGGAGTGATATGACTCGCTTTAGTCCCAGGTGAAAAACAAGGGAAATAAAGGTTGTCGGATTGCAGTGGCGAGGATAAGAAATGAACATGGTGGTAGTTAGATAATCAACTCCGAAGGCTAGGCCATATGCCAGGAGACATAATGGTAGTTTCGTTAAAAGTTCCAGATGAAGGCGGTGATGGCTTGGTTCAAAGGGGTAGGAGAATACAGTACAACTTGCACGCACACATGGGCAGATTACAAGACAAGCCTACGGGCCGGCTTGTTTGCAATAGCTGAAACATAACTTGATGCCCGCGCATAATCTTACAGACCAGAGGATATAATCTGGTATGTACACACTAAGATTACAATAAACTTCACTCGGAAGCTTCGAAACAAAAGTTGCAAACTGATTGCGGGAATAACCAGGACAGCTATATGGTGTAACCCCTCCGTCGTCAGATACACTGTCGTGTGGAGTGGTCAGGTGTTGCGCAAATGCTAGAACATTTCGCGTTAGACTTGTAGTTTCCTGAACCAGAACTCGGTAATAGTAATGTTTTCGTAGGGAAAATCGCCGAATAAATACTTCCAAGATGGACCAAGAAATGTAAAGCTGCTTGGGGAAAAACCAACAACAACAAAATCCGTGTAATTCAGAATGTTTAAGCAACAGGGGACATTATTGATGATGATCGAATAGATATTCATGCATGAGCGTAAGCATTCAGTTGTTCACTTGTTCGCTGAGCAAGGCAATTTGGTTACAAACGTCTCGCAACCATGCGAACTGGCATCGTCAGTGGAGTGATGTGCAGGGTGCAATGCTGCCAAGCTCGACGAACGAATAAACAACTTAATCCTCAACCCAAGCTAGCAGTATTTCGAGTGTGAGTATTAACTGTACTAATGATCTGTCCCTAGTACAAGAACAGTCGCTCGCACATCCAAGGAGAAGACGTAAAGCAGAATGCGAAAAGTGGACCATCTCGCTAAGTCGACCGATTTTTGTCATTAGTTGTAGGTTCGCCATTTCAACCCTATGGATCCAGATCACCGTAGGTTGATCACTTTGGTCCATTCCATACAGTGATCAACTTACTGTATTGCTGGTTTATTATTCTTATGCTCAAAAGACGTCACTAAATCTTATTTTATGGTTAAAAAATAGGTAGCGAACATTATCCACAAATCATTTCTTATTCGCGCCAGTAGCGTAGCTAAGACTTGGTGCCCTGCTTGGTTCCCGGGGCACAACTCGTGTAGAAGCTAATCGAAAGCACTGGATGTGACTTCAGTCCCAGGATGATTTAGGGAACCCAACAACCATTCTGACAGGTCAGGCTAGCAGAAATGCTTTTCAATACTCAGTTAGGGCTACGCGATGCAGTGCTAATCAGTTGCCATCTTCCTCTGTTGTTTCACTTATAGAAGCCAAACTTTTAACGATGATCATGGGCACTCAGTGGTGCTGGCCAACCAATCTCATGCGTCTTCAAAGTTAACCAACGCTGTTGTTCAACTGCAAAGCTCATAGTAAGATATCATTCCAGGGAGTTAGGAAGATTCTAAAATGGAGCAATCGGCAGAATCCTGCTGGGTGTAACAGTGAAACCAGCGGAAGCGTAAAAACTCAGTCGATATTGGAACGCCATAAGCAAGACAACCCAGAAGGAGAAAAAAGAGAGGCATCAGTAGCACGCCGGTAGGCAGTACCGATGTTTCACCGCGGCGCAACCACCACCGGTCGCACGGGGACTAAGGATACCGCAAGGGTCGCCCTGTCCCTACGTAAGCTCGAACCCGCGCCGTCAAATTACAAAACAAGCTGGTTACCTTTAGGCTACGTGCCGGTAAGATAACTAAGAGGTCTTAAAGAAGGCGATTCATAGCGGCAAATGATAAAGCAAACTCTGCCATTGGGGACAGTTATATTTCATAAAGCAAAGTAGCGCAGCTCTGTGAAAACCGGAGGACCGAGTAGGAGAACGTGATGATATGAACAATGATGACATCGCGAGTCAGCAATGATTTTCGTACCCGTGTTATGCAACCAAGCACCGGAAAAGTAACGCATAGCGAGAGAAAGCTCAAAACAACCGGCAAAAAAATATGGCAGGTGAAACTGATAGAACAAGTAAAGCGATAAACCAGGGCCTCATCAATAACAGTATCGAAAAACGGCGAATTTCGAAATATGCACATAATAAATCAAAATTCTGACTTCCAGGTGGGATACGCGATGCTGACCGGTGACCACATGAAGAAGGACAATGAGAGGATACGAGCATGTGGGAAATGTGCAGCAAGTCAGAAACAAAAAACACCAACGAAACATGATTCCATACGGAAAAATTGTACCAATGCATCGCTACCAAATGGCTACCACAAACCGCGTGCCCGCTGGGTATGCGGCGAGATCAGCCTCGTCAATACGGAATGTGATCGGTGAATTGTGCACTACACTCCAGGCACCACCTGAGTCACTCGTCCGGTTTCGAGAACGCGGATAGGCATGTGACAGTACTCAACACCATCTACAAGTGAGCGCAACTGACCGTCCAATATATATATATATATATGTATATACATATGTATATATATATATATTTATATACATATATATATGGTTGGCGGCATCAGGTTTCGGATTTGTCTGTCACTGTGACCAGCCACAGAACACCAGCGCCTACAGAGGGACCACGGGTAGCTTGCGCAGCACCACCCACAGCCCCAACCAAACCCCCCATATCAAGAGTAAGCCCGAAGGAATAAGACCGGGATACATGTGGATGGGAGCCACGTTTCATCAACAGAGCCGGCCCACACTCCTTCACAGGCAAACACAAGCACGCTGTATTTGGGAAACAATCGCACACAATGCAGTGGCTGGACCATAGTCCACCTCACACTAAGTGCATGGTACCACCCTTCGAGGATAGCACGGCCAAAAGGACCGTGCACCCCATCCCATCCAGCAACGACCAACTGTTTCCGGGAGCAAGTATGGACGATGTAGTGGGTAAGAGACAAGTAGGCACCTTGTCAACATGCATATCAAGCGCAGCCACACCGGGGATATGCAGAAAAAGCCAATTACGTGAAACAACAAGATGAAATAAAACAAATCAAATAATGCATACAGATACGGGGGTATAACTCTTCGCTAAATTGCCATATAAAGTAAGTTGGTTAGAAACGAATCCGGGATAAGGAAGAATATCCATAAGTGTGCAAGTTAATAGAAGATAGTACAGGTAGAGAATAATATGAAAAAGAAAAGCATAAGGACAAAATCGCAAACCCACCACCTGAAATAAAGAGACAGCATGCCAACACGCGGTTAGTAAATCGAATTCAGCGTACCTACAAACCCTGCGCAGGTTCTCCCCACGCTCTTCGAAGGACCCGTCGTTGCTTCGGTGGTGGACCCGAGTGGCCTCGGTCACGGCTCACTAGGCCTGCCTGACTCAGGCACTCACGACCGCATGTGCTACGACACCATGCGCTCGAATTCGATGGAGTACAACCCATTGTGCTTGCCGCATCTTCTCTGCATGCATGAGGGCTTTCTCCTGCACCTCGGCGACTGCCTTCGTGATCAGATCGCGCCATGCACGCCGATCAACCACCTTCGATTCCCATGACCTGCAATCAAGATTAGAACGTCAGGGGCTCACTTTGATCATGTCCTGGTTTCCCCACACGCCGCTTCCCAATACCCAGTTAACCACATAATAGTTGTTTCGGTATCCGCGTTGAATACATACGGCTCACGTGACCGATCCACCTCAGTTGTCTCAGCAAAAGTATGCAGTCCACCGCATACATTCCACATCGGCGCAACACTTCCGTGTCTGCAACTCTGTCGCCCCATCCGATGCGCAGAATCCGTCGCAAACACTGTTGATGGAACCGCTCGAGATATCTCACATCTCGCCGGTGCATCGTCCACGTTTCGCTGCCGTATAGAAGAACGGACGACATCACGGATTTGTACACCATCAGCTTCGTGCCAATGGTAAGCTGATGGTTGCTCTACAATCGGTATTCAAGCTTCCCGAATTCCGCCGCTGCCTTCGACAAGCGGATACGCAGTTTACTGTGTAGCTGCTGGTCAGTCGACATCACACTCCCAAGGTAGCAGAAGCGGGAGGTGGTTGACCATACTTCAGCACCAATGTTGATTCGCGGCACCATGGTAGATTGCACCTCCGGTGAAGGCTGAAAGAGACAGACAGTTTTGCTTGTGTTGATGGTGAGCCCGAATTTGGCCATTCTTGAAGCCAGAGCACAAGTCATGTGCTGCAACTCATCCGCGCTGTGTGCAAACAACGCACAGTCGTCAGCAAACAGCGACATACGGATAGTTATCTCACAGACTAAAGTTTACGCACCGAAACGACGGATGTTCAGCAACTCACCATCAATACGGTGCTGCACATGAACACCCTAAGCACAAGCGGGATCAAAAGCACAAGACATCACTGCAT